GACCATCACCTTCAACTCAACCTTGCCAAGACAGAACTGCTTGTGGTTCCAGCAAACCCATCATTTCTTCACAATTTCACCATCCAGTTAGGCACATCAACCATAACTCCTTCAAAAACAGCCAGAAACCTTGGAGTTATTATTGATGATCAGCTGACTTTCTCAGACCTCATTGCTAAAACTGCCCGGTCCTGCAGATTTGCTTTATTCAACATCAAGAAGATCAGGCCCTTTCTTTCGGAACATGCTTCACAACTCCTTGTTCAAGCTCTTGTTCTGTCCAGGCTGGACTATTGCAATGCTCTCTTGGCAGGTCTTCCAGCCAGTTCTATCAAACCTGTACAATTAATCCAGAACGCGGCAGCAAGATTATTTTTTATGAGCCAAAAAGAACGCACGTCACACCTCTGTTTATCAGTTTACACTGGCTACCAATAGCTGCTCGCATAAAATTCAAGGCATTAATGTTTGCCTACAAAACCACCACTGGCTCTGCACCCCTTTACCTACATTCATTACTTCAGACTTATGTGCCCTCTAGAAGCTAGCGTTCTGCAAGTGAACGGCGCTTTATTGTGCCATCCGAAAGAGGCACAAAATCACTTTCACAGACTTTTAAATTAAATGTTCCCTCCTGGTGGAATGACCTGCCCAACTCAGTCCGAGCAGCTGAGTCCTTCTCAAGAATCAGCTAAAAAAAAAAACACATCTCTTCCATCTTTATTTGACCCTCTAACTCTAGCACTCTCTATTCTAATTATATTCTTTAAAAAAACTAACACAAGCTTTTCTAATCATTTTGTATTCTATCTATTTGTTTTCTTTTTATTTATTATACAATTATCAAAAGCAAAAAAGGCCTCTAACACTAGCTTGCTCTATTCTTTTTCTATTCTATCAGTTTTCTTTTTATTTATTATATTATTTTTAAAAATACATTGCTACGTGTACTGCATTGAGCTAACTTAGACTTGTTATAGCACTTGCATATCATTGCACTTTTGTTAATTTTGATTGCTTCCATTGTCCTCATTTGTAAGTCGCTTTGGATAAAAGCGTCTGCTAAATGACTAAATGTAAAACTCTTTTGTTGATTTTGATTGCTTCCATTGTCCTCATTTGTAAGTCGCTTTGGATAAAAGCGTCTGCTAAATAACTAAATGTAAATGTAATATATATATATATATATATATATATATGTATGTATATGTAGTCTTTTGCATCTCTAGAATGCATGCAGTCCTCGCTACCCTAACTAGTACATACTGATGCTGGAGACGAGTTAATTTTCACCTGGTAATACATAAAAACAATGTCATTGGCTTCTGAACAGACTGAGCCATATGTGTTGACAGAGCATCCATATCCATCTGTTGTGTAAGGAGGAGGTGTGGAAATCTATATTTTTAGCCTCCCCTCATCACCCAAGAACCCAGTCAGTTCTGCTTGTGTTTTTAGTGAAAGCACTTCTTGTTTGTGCTTTACAGGATAATGTGAACCGCTCAGCTGGGCTAACTCCCATTGCGTTTTTAGCTCATCCAGAATAGAAAGCTTAACATATTCTCACCACACCTGAGTTGGCTGTCTAGTAGCGAGCTGGAATATATTAATGGGATAATGTACAGTCATAATCACAAAATAAACTCAGACAGGGTTTGTATTGTGATAGTGAGCAGCTGACTGAACATTATCCAGAATTATGTGGCTACTTAGCAAATAAATAAATAAATGGACCTGAAATATTAGTTTATTAGCTACTATGAGGCTGCAAAGAGAATGAACAGCACAGCTATGTTGGAAACACAAGTAGGCAGTAACATATATAGCGTTGTTATGGGCAACAGTCATTATTCAGAAATATATCTGAATGTTGCGATTGATCAATCAAAATCAAGTATTCCATATAAAGCAATACATTAGTTTGACGACATGCTAGTTTTACGGTATAAGTATTGACAAGAGCTCTGCTAGTGTTCGCATCATCAATACATAATAAAACACGTTATTGATACATATTGCTTTGAACAGAGTTTAACTGAACGCACAGCATTTTTTCCTCATGTTTAACATATTATTCATCATAGAATTATAAAAAAAAAATCAGTGTATTACATTTTCCACAAATATTAAGCAGCACAACTGTTTTCAACATTGATAATAATAAGAAATGTTTCTTGAGCAGCAAATCAGCATATTAGAATGATTTCTGAAAGATCATGTGACTTGGAGTAATGATGCTGAAAATTCAGCTTTGCATCACAGGAGTAAATTACATTTTAAAATAAATTAAAATAGGAAACAAATATTTAACCCCCTGAGGTCGAAGCCCACACTGGTGCGGTCTGTCTCGTATTTTCTTGATGACCGTGAAAAAAAACTACAAATACTCCTTCATTTTTGATCGTACAGATAAGAATAAGGTATCATTTGAAACTGCAAAGGGTCTACTTTTATTTGTGCATAGTCAAAATAACAACAAAACAACATGCTTTTGTAAAATAAAGAAAATAAACAGGGTGCGCTCTGTGCCGTCTCTGTCGTCTCTCTTCACAGACACGTAAATAAAACAACATGAATCTCCACGAATGCTTGCCTCAAAGACATGAGAGATATATGTATAGAAATCTTGAAGTGTCTACTTTTAAATTAAGTAGCCTAAGTCACGTCCAAAACAAATATTCTGTTAAAGTAATATGAAACCAACGCAATGTCCAGTTTTTCCCGTCTCAACTCATTATCTCTAATGCGGTCACGCCCACGAGCCGATCGCACTTTTCAGATTCTAAACATCCACGTGAGATGCGCGCGCATGTAAACGCCCACATCGCCTCCGCGTAAACAAACAAGTTCATCCCGGCTACTTTTTGTTTCTGGAGGAAGACGCACTGAGAGGAATAACCCAGAATTTACCTCAGAAAAAGAACACAACGCAATGCATCGCGCAGCTAGATCCAGTGGAGAATATCATTCTGATGAGTAGCCTAAGATTACTTGCATCTGTTGTTATTGTGTTATTGTGACATAACTTGTACACATTTTACTAGTTAGGCTTTTCCCAAACTGTAATTCCTGACTACATGTATGAAATCAAGTGAAACATTTTGAAATTTGTGTCATTTTATTGTCTAAATGTCTCACAACGCCAGGATGTGTTTAATGTTTTATAACATATAAAACCACAAGATATAAAAGTAGTGTTAACACTATGATATTAGAGTCTATGAATGTTTGGCACAAAGGTATGTTACTGTTCAAGTCTCAGTCTTCAGATCAGTATGTTCAATCATGTGTCCTTGACCTTCACTGTGTATATTTTTATTATACTGTGTTGTAAATAAAATTGTAGTAATATTTAACAATATAATTGTTTTTACTGTAGTTAAAGAAATGCAGCTTTGGTAAACATAAGAGAAAACCCCGATAGAAATTGTTGTTCTAATTCATCTGACATATTAGTAGCATGTTGCAGTTGAGTGAACATGCTAAAAATGACATCTTCCAGATGAAAAGGCTACATCAAAATGCTAAAGTGTTAGTATTACATTTCGGGAAGATGTGAATCGCAACATCTGGGAAGATAAACCACTGTACCTCTGCTGTACCTACTTACTTTTTGAATTCTATCAGTAGACACCATTAGCAATGAAGCACCAGCTCTTATGCACTGGAAGAGAAAGAGCTAAAAAGATTCCTCACTTTTCTGAAAATCTATAATGAGCACCCGCTGATACAGAGTCAAGTGCTCCACGCTTACGACGTCAGCCACTGCAGTACGCGCAAGACCGTGTGTGTGTGTGTGTGTGAGTGTGAGTCATGCTTGTTCTCGCATTGACCCGCAGTCACATTCTCATGCATCATCCACTCACAGGGCATTGCTATGGCATCCTTTTTTGTTTGCAAATCAGCCCGACACAAGCCCACATACGCATATTTTCCTTTTTCGCAGAGGAATAGCCTCACGGTTTAGTGGCTGTTTGTTATGGACGGTCAGTGCAGCACATTGTTTTCGGTGCTTCCTTCTGTAGGCAGTTCATCAAAAGGCTTCTTTCTGAGTCACGAGTCCAATAAAAGCTGTTGTTTTCTGAATGGACACAGGGCAGTGCTCCCAAATAAGCCACTTCATTCATATCAGTGTTTTTAAATTAGCAGCAGGGGTTGTTTTGGTTGTATTTTTTTTAGATTGCACTCGTTTTAAATCTTCTGTAGCGGCTAGCCTGCAGAGCTAGCATTACGTAAGTGTGTCACTCTGAATAACGGCATGCCGGATTTCCACTCTGCCTTTTTTTCCATTGTATCTCTCTTTTGTCATGTGCTGCCATCCTCCCCCGCGGTCCACCTCGCCCATGAGTGGCAGGTGACATCAAGACTTTCATTGAGCACGCCAGCATGATATTCAGTGGATAATCTGCATCACACCGGCGACCAACCCCCTCTCTAAGCCGCTACTGTGGCTGTCAATCTCAGATCAGTCGAGCGAAGCTTTATTGCTGCCGACGCGTCGTTGTGCTGCCGCACAGACCGCATGATGAATGCTAATGCGGCCAGCGGCAGTCAAATCCTAAGTGACGTGCCAACATGTGAAGGTGTCGTGCACAAATAGCAGAAAATTCCCTCAGTTAAAATGAACTGATATCAAGATGTGTAAAATGCAATATTCAGTGTCTTTTGGGGTTAATTGGCATTGTATGCATCATGAGACTCACGTTTATGTTTGTAGTTACTATTTTATTGGTACTTTATGAGACCTTGTGACTAGAATGAATGGAAAATGCAATTCTTTTCAAATTATATCAAGTGTTTGACCTTCAAAATTGAGCCTGTGCACTTTAAAACATGTTTCTGATCGATTCGTCAGTGCATCTCATTCAAACAATTATTCCTAATCTTTCATCAACTCATTTTGCTCAGAAATGCAGTACACCTAACATGGGTTGTGAATGTGGTTCCATGTCTTTAACATGTCTTTTAACTCTCTCTTTCTCTATTGCTGTATTTCACAGGAGTGTTCCTCATTCCCTATGTGTTGTTCATATTTCTGGGAGGCATTCCGATATTCTTCCTGGAGATTGCGCTGGGTCAGTTTATGAAGGCTGGAAGCATCAATGTGTGGAACATTGCACCTCTTTTTAAAGGTTTGCTCTCTATCTTTATGCATTTACTTTTTAAGCTGTGATGCTATTTTAGGTTGTCCCTTAAAGCATTGCATTCTTTAAAACATGCATTCTTTATTTTTTTTAGGTATTATATTATATTATAATACATTAAAATATTGTAATGTAACTTTTTTATATTTTTGTATATATTTTTATTTTTTATTTTTTTAATGAAATGGTTTGTATCAGAATTAAGCCACAAAATGTGTTTGTCTTATAAAACTATTACCTATCACAAATGTTATATTAAATTATATTATATAAAATTATATCATTAATAAATTAAGATAGATAGATAGATAGATAGATAGAGTTTAGATAAATACACATGCTGATGTATTTCAAAATTATATGCATATTTTATCTAAAAAAAGGGTACAAATACATTATTAGGATAGTATATAACTTCAGTGAATGCCCTTCAGTATATCCTTGCTTCATTCTGTAGTTCATAGACAACATGAAATCTAATTTTACTCTGTTTACTGCCTTAATTAATGCTTGATTCATCAGCACATGTTATATAAGAGATACTCTACACCTGAAGGGCTTTATTTTCAGTTGTCTTTTTACTGGTTTGTTTTAGGACTTGGCTACGCCTCCATGGTGATTGTGTTCTTCTGTAACACGTACTACATCATGGTACTTGCCTGGGGTTTCTACTACTTGATAAAGTCCTTCAATTCCACGCTGCCCTGGTCCACCTGCGACAACCCGTGGAACACCGAAAACTGCATCGAGATCTTCCGCCACGACGACTGCCAGAACGGCACCATTGGCAACTCAACATTTGGAAACCTGACGTGCGAAGAGCTTGCTGACGGGCGTTCCCCTATCATTGAATTCTGGGAGTGAGTGATCGGTTTTTACACAGTTAATTTCTTACACAAACAAACAATATTTGAAATGCCTTTCACCACCCACTTTTCTTACATAAAAGTGGGTGGTGAAAGGCATTTCAAATATTGTTATATAACAACTCTTCACAAGATGAATGTGCTTAAGAAAATAATGTTTGTTGTTAACAACTAAATGTTATGTTACGGTTAACTGTTATTAATCCCACATCAATACTCACATAATTTGCTGTCCATTAGAAACGAGTGGCATTTCAGTTGCAAGTGATGTTGCCTGTACAAGCTTGAATCTGTATGATGTTTTTGAATCTGCAGTTAGCATTTCATATTATTGGTTATTGATTTGAAGATCCTCTATTGACTGTTCAGATCGGCTCATGGTTTGTTTTAATGCCCTGAGTGACAGTAGACTATACCGCTCTGGAAAGTCATCGCTTTCAAGCTACGTACGAGTTTATAGATTCAAATAAAAACTGCTTTGTGAGCATTATATAGTTATATATATATATATATATATTATATAGTGCTTTCATTCATGAATGTTTCTATTCATCTAAGTATCTTGAAAAAATTGTATCGCGGGTTCCACAAAAATACTCATTTTTGGAAACTTTCCAGGATTTTTTTGGAATAGTCCAGGGATTTTTGGAAAGTTTTTCCAAAACAGTCATTTTTATTAGTATTTAAAAAAATAAAATAAATAAATAAAATGAAATAAAGGAGTTCAAATTCCTATGTTTTGAATCAGTTCATTTGGATGAATCATTGCACTAGAATGGGTTGGACTTTCAATCAGTACATACGAGAGAGGACAGAGATGATTAGAGACGATATAGTTGATGAACTTTTGTAACAGCTTTCATGTGAGGAGCATACTCACTATATCTGGGAACAGTGCATACAGTATATTAGTATATAGTATATTCCCAGTAATTTCAGAGATTTGTAATACAAATAGCCAGTTGAATCCAGCTTTTTTTTTAATCTCATTTGAAACTTTAATGAGAATTTAACAGTCAGTCTGCAGGTCATTTCACATGTACTTATGTAATCTTGCAATTATGCTGCACATAAATTCATAAAAATGTGTTTGCCAAAGACTGCATCATATTGCATTTCCCTTGTGCTCTCAAGTGCAATGTGACTTGCTTGTGTAACCTTGATTTGCATAGCTCCACCCACTGCTGCTTTGTCACAGTCATGCAGGAGTGAGGCAGAAAGGTAACCATAGCAACATTATTTGCAATGGGGGTGTGGCGGGAAATATTACAAAGTGCCCTGTCAGTAAGGCACTGTGAGACTGGTTGGTCATGAGCGGGTGTCTGCAGTGGGACGTGACAAGGTGCTCGTACAAATGGCCAACAGCCACATTCTCTCTCCGGGAGGCGGGATCATATGAACCCTTAGTAATATAATAACTTCATTTTATTTCTGCTGCTTATTACTGTATAGAAGATCATCCTTGTATTACGAATATGTTTCTTCTGCACTAAAGTTACTCCTGTGAACTCAAAGCAGGGCTTAATGTTTCTAATAAACAGCTAAAGAAGGCAAACAGTGGAAAGTAGGTTATCTGAACTCATATTCAGTTCCTAGCTCGTGTTTTTCCTTCATAGTTTTTCGTTGATGGAAAGGACACTGTGAGTAAGCGTTGAGTCAAGCTCATTCAGACGACTGACGCGCGCACACACACACACACACACACACACACAATAAGCCAGTGTTACAGTGAGCTAATTGGCTATTTCAGAATCTGATTAATTATTACGGGGCAGAAATACTAAGCGGCAGATTACCCCAGATTCACAGGCCTCATGGGAATTAAAACAGAGTTTGTTTACTGACAGTATTTTTAGTTCAGGTTTATTTCTGCGTCTTTATAGTCAGTTGAAAGTGGGATGGATGTAAGTCTGATCTGATCTACAGTACAAATATTTGATTTAAACTGACATGCATCAGACAGCTAATACTATGAAGTCTGTTAATAAATCATTACTCCAGTCTTCAGCTTCACATGATCCTTCAGAAATCATTCTAATATGCCGATTTGCTGCTCAAGAAATATTTCTTCAATATCAATGTTGAAAACAGCTGTGCTGCTTTATGTTTTTGTGGAAACCATGATACATTTTTTTTTTTCAAGATTATTTGCTGATTAGAAAGTAAAAAAAAAAACAGCATTTGTTTGAAATAAAAATCTTTTGTAACATTATAAATGTCTTTACTGGCACTTTTGATCAATTTAATGCATCAATGAATAAAAGAATTTATATAAATAAATATGAATAAAATATATAATAAATAATACAGATTTTTTAATTTCAAAATTGATTTTTAATAATAATAATAATTAGTACTGTCAAACGATTAATCGCATCCAAAATAAAAGTTTTTGTTGACATAATATATGTGTGTACTGTGTATATTTATTATGTATATATAAATACACACACATGCATGTATATATTTAAGAAAAATATGTTACGTTTCTATATTTAATATATTTATATATGATATAATTTATATGAATATAAATATATACACGTAAATACATGTAAATATTTGCAAAAATAGTTGCTGTGTGTGTGTGCCTTTATGTATACATAATAAATATACACAGTACACACACATATATTATGTAAACAAAAACTTTTATTTTGGATGCGATTAATCGCGATTAATCATTTGACAGCACTAATAATAATATAGAATAGTATCATTCTATAATATTAATATATTAGAATGTTTATTAAAATAATAATAATATTACATTAATATAATAATATAATAATTATTTATATATGACCAGTGAATTTTCACCCATCATTGACTAGAGTCTAGTGTGGTAGAGAGATTATTAGACCATTTTTCATTGATGTTTCAGGATCCATTATTGTTCAGGTGACATGGCTCTGGACTGTAGACAGACAAAGATGTCGCAGAATGATGTGGAGAATTCAGAAAGCTCTCACCATGCACTGCATGTCCTAAACCGTGACCGTGTTTTTGTTGTAATCGGGCAGCATTGTACTTTTTGAGTTGAGCTCGTCTTCCCGAGGGAATTCAGGAGATGGGGTTTGCAGGAACAATTGAAGATCTGTGGCTGAGCGGCGTGCTTTTAATGCGATGGGCTTGATCTAGAATTGGCTGTCCTACTGTTGTGTGTCTATATGGAGCAATTACAGAAGGCTGCCAGGCTTGTAAGACCATACCTGGCATGTGAGCCAAGTTCATAAACCAGCAAGGCTTGGAATGAGCAAGTCTCATGTAAATGCTCTCTGATAACAATCCGTCTCGTATCATCAGAGTTGAAAGTTCAGAGCGTTTGGACCCAGCCGCTGAATCAATAAACCTCTCCTTGCTGAAAAATCAGTGGTGATCTGATAACAGAAGGCATTGAGACATGCAGTATGTGCGTCTCAACTTCATTCACATGACACAATGCTCAGCATGTGACTAACACCGTCCTTGCTGTGAACCGAGAGAGATAAAATACATTTCAGAGATGCAACGCAGCAGATTCTCTGATATAAATCTACTGATAATATTGGGTTGAACTAGATTAGGTTATCTGGATTATATGTGGCTTTCTACGATCTAGCAAATGCACATAAATGACTGCCAAAATTATTTAGCAAACAAGGACATTTATTAATCATGGAAAATAACATATTGTCAAATATTCTGAATAAAATATAACTCCTACTTTCTCATGCAAAACTCATGTTGTGAATGGTCACCAGGACATTGCAAGGTCATTGCTAGGGTGTTTTACTAAGTCTGATCTTTCTGAGAAATAATATCACATCTCTGCTTAACAAACATTATACAATATTAACAGTATTAATAAACACCTTAAAGGAATCGTTCACCCAAAAATGAAACGTTGCTGAACAGTTACCTCAAGTCATCCAAGATGTAGATGAGTTTGTTTCTTCATCAGAACAGATTTGGAGAAATGTAGCATTACATGACTTGCTCACCAATGGATCCTCTGCAATGCATGGGTGCCGTCAGAATGAAGAGTCCAAACAGCTGATAAAAACATCACAATAATTTACAAGTAATCCACATAACTCCAGTCCATCAGTTACTGACTTGTGAAGCGTAAAGCTGTGTTTCCAAGAAATAAATTCATTGTTAAATTGATATTAACTTTAAACCGTTGCTTCCGGCTAAAATATGATTCCTCTGTCCATAATGTTGCTTTGTCCAGTAAAAAAAAGTCGTCTCGTCTGAATTGGGAGAGAAATATGCACAGATCAAGCACCATTTACAAGTAAAAAAAACTGTCCAAAACACTTCTAAGCAAATATATTAGTGTTAGAGGACAACAGGGGTTGGACTTTTTTAATGGAGAAAGTGTCATTATGGATTATAGACTGATATCTTGGCCAGAACTAACAGTTTAAAGGGGTCATATGATGCGATTTCATTTTTTCCTTTCTCTTTGGAGTGTTACAAGCTCTTGGTGCATAAAGAAGATCTGTAAATTTGCAAAGACTAAAGTCTCAAATCCAAAGAGATATTCTTTATAAAAGTTAAGAGTCAGCCACACCCCCCTAAAACGGCTCGTTCGAACACGCCCCCACATATCTACCTCACTATGTGGGAAGATTTGCATAACGCCGCCCAAATGTTCTGTTTTTTTAACTTTAAACCGGATAAACACATTTCATTACACCAAATACACAAAATAATGTTCTTTTTAGCAGCATCATATGACCCCTTTAAAGTTAAAACGACCTTAATGATGGATTTGGTCCTTACAAAAATGCAGCTTTACGTTCACAAGATTCAATCGAGTCGTGTGGATTATTGTGTTGTTTTTATCAGCTGTTTGGACTCTCATTCTGACGGCACCCATTCACTGCAGAGGATCCATTGATGAGCAAGTGATATAATGCTAACTTTCTCCAAATCTGAAGAACAAAATTTTTTTTGCAGATTTTTGGGTGTTTTAAGCGGTGAGTTGTAGGAATGAAAACAGTTGACTTGACTGTCTGTCTGTCTGTCTGTATTTTTGTCTTCGACAGATTGTGTATGTCACTGCCACGTTCCCGTATGTGGTCCTGATTATTCTCCTGGTGAGGGGCGTCACACTTCCTGGTGCTTATGATGGGATCATGTACTATGTTAAACCTGATTGGTCTAAGCTAGGAGAGGCACAGGTGAGACCTTTAGTTCTCTCTTTCAGCTTTGCGAGCATCAATCCTCCCACCCGCTTTGGATAAAATCATACGCTTTTATCCAAATGAATAAATGTCAAAGAAATTCAATACGCTTCATTTTTTTCTCAGTTTATTTACTTTTCTCTCTCTGCTTATAGGTCTGATACACAATACTTTATAACTGTTTCAGTTTAGTGTTTCTAAGAACGTTCAAACTTTTAAACTCGACTTTTATGTCTCTCTCCAGAGTACCTGGAGCCACTTTGAGCTCAATAATCATTTCAGAGGTGGATCTGTTTGTCTGACTGTCATTACTCTGTCTGTCTCTCTCAGGTCTGGATCGATGCTGGTACTCAAATCTTTTTCTCCTATGCTATCGGGCTCGGGGCCCTCACGGCCCTCGGCAGCTATAACCGATTCAACAATGACTGCTATAAGTAAGCATCCGTCACAGCCTTGAAGAGACAAGGACACATTTTTGTTATGGCGTCTTGTGTAATATCTGAACCAGTGTGTGTTCCTTTTGAAAGACGTTGTGTCTAGTACGTTCACGCCATCAGAGAGTCCTGACCTTGTTTTATATGAAGCTGGATTTGACTGATGTGGCTAGCAAAGAGCAAAGGCCACTCACTTTAATAGTAGATCTCAAATGTCCTGGATACATTAGTAACCAGATGCACTGAATCAGCAGTTCTTTGCTTTGACTTTAATATACAGAGTACTTTAGCTGGTTATATATACACTGATAATCAGGAATGATTTAATTTAAAATTGTAAATAAAATATTTTAAGATTTTGAAAAAATAAAAATAAGCAAAATGAGACATAACCGAATATGCTACTATGAAATTTTGAAATTAAAAATGCATGCACATTTTTAAAATTCAGCTTGTTCACTTGTTAAAAATGTGTGTTAAATGAGAAGTTAATATCATTACTAAATTACTCATTTATTTAATGAATATAATTAATGTCTAAATCAATATTTTGATTATTTTATTTGTATTAATTCATTTTATTCATTAAATAATTGTTAATAAATATTTTCATAATAATTTAAAGTATTATTATAACTATTATATTTTATGATTAATTATCATTTATTGATAATAAATGAAAAATTATTAAATTATTGTAACCACAGTTACGATACATTTTAGTATGTACAAATTCAAGGTTATACATTTTAAGAGTGCAGTGGATTATAAAAAGATGTTATTTAATGCATTATTTTCTTTCATGTATAACCTTGAGCAGATAAGTGATTGAATGTATTGTAGCAATAGTTTTAATTATGCTCAAGAATATTTAACAGACAATAAGGTGGCATCGTTATATGTCTTTTATAATGCATCTAATGTGTTACACAACCATCTGACTGGATTTAAATAAAGATGCCACAACAGTTAACGTCTGCGTTTTCTTCTGTTCTCAGGGACGCTTTTGTTCTGGCTCTTATTAATAGTGGCACCAGTTTCTTTGCTGGGTTCGTGGTCTTCTCCATCTTAGGTTTCATGGCATCCGAGCAAGGTGTGGACATCTCTAAAGTGGCTGAATCAGGTAAGAGTCTACAGTGGTTTACTTCATTACAGATGACAGATTATATACTATTTTGGATGGTAAGATAACAATATATTTATAAAGCATATTTACGTGTCTGCCAGCCCTGAAACAACATGCATCTTAATGCAGGTGTTTAATAATTCACTTTCACTTGTTTTTAGTGCACATAAGTGAATGCATTTTTGACCTGGGGCTGGTTCTTGTAAATCATTTATGAAATCAATATTTAATGCAAGAATGATCTGCTGAAAATGAATGAAACATGCATTGTGTGAGTCATGAACATATGTGATATGATGATGGTGATGATGATGATATTATACAGTAAATGAATTTCAATGCAGTTTGATATGTGACTTGAATTTTGTATTACTGTAAATGTTTATTGTTGGTTTGACAATATGATTGAAAGCAGAATATAAATGAAGATCATGTTTATATACAATGCTATTTGCTGTTAGTCATATTACTGTGAAAGGGACCAGACACTTAGCAGTTTGTTTTATGTGTGTGTGTGTGTGTGTGTGTGTGTGTGTGTGTGTGTGTGTGCATACTTGTGCATACTTGTTTGTGTGCGTGAGTTTCTAATGGTAAATAACAGATAATGGTTCATGAATTAACAACTGTATGTCACTCAATATTTTTGGTATTGTGTGGGATTGTGTGTGTGAGAGTGTCTGTCTGTTCTGAATGCAGGTGTGTGTGTATGTTTGTGAGTTTTCGACATCACAATTAGGTACAGTCTTCTTCCCGTTTGCTGTGTCCTGAAACACTGAGGAATATATAATTCCCAAAATGTAATGCCTTGATTTTACATACACATTTACATAGACATTGATTACAATTTAATTCAAATTTTATGTTTAGGTTAATAATAATTATGAAAGTGAAATCCTGATCATTCATGATAGAAATGAACAGGCATCACAGACTACACTAATAGTATGCAGCATGTAATTTAAGGCCCCACATGTTCTTGTGTGACGCTCACGCATGTAGACGTGTTAGATTATAACACATAGGCCTACATGTTTCACATTTAAAGTGTGAACACCAGACGAAGGCTTTCTGTCACTCCGATTTTTGTCAAGCTATCACTAATAATCTGTATATAACATGACTGTCCTACAAGATTGACACTAAATTCATGTCTTTTTACATAAATGTCTTGCTAAAGGCTGTTGCATGAAGAAAAATGCATATGAGTGCACACTATAAATGTAGGGAAAGCAAATCCCTATATTTTCTGTACTGATCTCATCAAGAACAGTGACCATAAATCTAGATTGTTAGTAAAATGTTTTATAAATGTTTGTTTTTTTAGCCAACTTCTTCATGCACTGTATAAATAAATAAAAAAATAAAAAAATAACATTTTTGAGTTGTAAATAAAGCAAATATTACTAGAGTACATTTTAAAAGAAAATACTATTTAATTCTTTCTGCTTTAAAATGTAATGTTTAATTCAATGTGTTTCTTGCAATTTGTTTGAAAAATGTTCACTTAGAAATTTATATTAAATTTCACACACACACGCACACACACACTTTATATAACTTTTATACGGACATTAGCATAATAAATATGTCATTTTGTGACATACAGGCTTGCTAATAGAATTTTTTTCTCACAAATTATTGTTTAAAAAATTAATATACTGCTTATTTTAATAAGCATCATTTTACTATTTGGTGGTTAAAAGATGTGTGAACATCATGTTATATTCTGAACTAAAGACTTTGTTGATACTTTCATATTTACTGACTCATGGACCAATCATCTGTAGCATGTGCATTTAACAGAATTTAAATCTACAGAATCAGTAAAATGATCGAACTATATCATAATTCACCTTTTGTGTAAAATGTAAATTCAAACTAAAGTTAGCCCCAGAAATGGAAATTAAATGTCATTTAACTAAGCTTCTGAATTAGGTATGAAGAAACCTTGGGTAGATAAATCTGGGTAGTCCTGGTTTAAAATCGTATAGCGGAGCTCCATTTAGTGCTAGTGGTATTTTACTCTTACCCCTGCATGGTGAATTAGTACTGTCATTTCAGACTCAGTTGAGCTCACGGCGCAGAAGCAGTGCACTGGTTTGTGAGGCTCAGTAAAGGACAACAAGTTCTTGGCCTGAAGGAGAGACTGTGCAGCAAGACTAAATGAGTATGAAGTGATAATATTTTTAAATGACCTGGCAAGATGCCACGGACTTCATACAAAGTGACCCTCACGTCCTTGAAATGAATGAATTTTAATCGGATCGCTGCTCATACATGTTTGGGTTAACCTACCAGTGTACCGCATGCTTTAAAGGGGTCAAATCATGAGGAATCGCATGTCCTTGCTCTTTTCAGTCAGCTTTACATGATGCCAAATTAAGTTTAATATTAATTTAAATATTAACAAATTAAATTGAGTGTAGGTTGCAATTATTTCTCAATGAAGTAACCATTGCTTCTGGTTTCGGAAGTAGATACCTTATTCAAGTCTCTTTTTCATGTTCATATTGTTGTTTTAAATTCAACATAATACACAGCAGCAGATTTACATTTGACAGATTTGGTCACTTGGGTACCAAAATTAGTTGATAATCTGTAATCTGCACTGATTTTAGTACTTTTGTTCGTGGTACCCCTACTGTCACAGATGTACTGTAGCTAATAAACCAGGGTTATTGTAGTTAACTAAAACTAAATCCATAAACACATTTCACTACTTCAAATTAAATGTTATCTGAAATAAAAGAAACTTAACATTTCTCTTTTTAATTAAGTAAATGAAATATATAATACTGCGTTACATGGAAGAGGCAGCTTTTATTTTATTTGGGATGCTTGGATTTCAGGAATCAGAAACCTGAAATATGATTGCCCGCATGTTTTTTAAAAATTCAATAAAGTATCAAAAACTAAAATATGATGTTTTTTTGCACAAAGGCATTACAAACAGAACTCAGGGGAAAAAATATGATATCGCCACTTTAAGAAAACATCAAGAATGCACATATGCACACACACACAGACATGTTATGAATGTACATGTGTAGGAATGAGTGTGTGTGTGTGTGTGTGTGTGTGTGTGTGTGTGTGTGTGTGTGTGTGTGTGTGTGTGTGTCCGTGTCTTCTAGTGTGTTGTCTGTGTCAGTGTGATGTTTAGAAATAGATCTCGAGGTCAGTGTGCTTGTGTCGTGATGTCCGAGTGGGTTGTGATGTGCTGTACATCCAGATGATTTTGAGAAGGAAACCATTGACACATTGTTTGTGGCTTTTTCTTATTTTTCATTTTCCTGCAGCACACAATCGGATGACGGTTACAGTTAGAAAGCAAACCAGATTCCCCATCATAAATTTGATGCTTTGACTAGTTTTCCTTGATTGTCTTCAGTCCCGTTCTATATATATATATTTATATATATCTTGTGATTCATATATATTTATTTATATCTCTATATCTATATTTTGGCTTTATTTAAGTATTAATTTAAGGATTATTTAACCAGGAACTTTGCCTCTTGAGATGTGCACATCTCGATTTCAAGAGGGGTCCTGGAGCAGTCTGCCAATGCAGGTAAACCTCTGATATCTAATGTTAGCATTTACACCTCTACTACAGCCCAGCCCTAAAGTCAGCACCTGCGACCGTCTGCCGCACAGGCAGGGCAGGCCCGACATGCACAGCGCAGCCTAGCCTCATTCCACAATTAGGCTCATCCATCTTAAGAGACAAAGCCAACGTGTGGAAAAACTGTACACCGCCGGCACTCAATGCCTGCTTTAACCCCAACATGATAAAAAACGCTAACGTCTAGCACTAACCTTCTCCAAACAGTCGCTTGATGTAAATATAAGACACGTCTCTCTTCTGGCTCTTCATCGTGTATTTCCATTACATTTGCCTGGATCTTGCTACATTTGTCATAAATCAGGCCTAGTTGTTAGTTCAAAGCCAGTGTCGTAATATCCACTGGTAATACAAAAAATATCCCACCTCTACTATTCCTTAAAGGGGTCATATAATGAGAAATTAAATTGTACATGATGTTTTCATGTTTTCTATGAAAACTTTGAAAACACTGCTAAAAAAAGAGCATTTACTGAAACTAAGCTGTAAAAATGGCTCTTTTTGAATGTAAACGCATCAGTACGCATCAGTGACGCCTGTAACTTGGCCTGTCCTGTCACAGTAATATAATAATGACAATCTATGGTATATATGATTATTCCTAAACACCAAGAGCTAACTAGTGTAAAATGTGTAGAAAATGTTAAAATGTGCTGATCCTGTTGTGTGTAGCAGAAGAATGTCAATGTTTGATATCAGCGACTGAAGCTTATTTTAATAGTCTTCACATAAAAACTCTTTAAGGATAAGGTGTTTGATTCTTCTATTATAATAATTGCAAGGATAAAATTTCACCCATTAGCGGTGGGCGATATGACCAAAATCTTATATTACGATCGGAGTCATTTTATTCCACGATAACGATATATATCATGATATAGTTGTTTAGTTGTTTGTTGATATAGCTCACTGAAGACAAGTAAACAGTCAGCAATCAAATAAGAATAAGAAACTAATTACAAGCAATAGGACAAAAAACTACAGTAGAACAATTAAATAAAAAATGCTTCATACATTGTATAAAGTAATTAAATGTATAAAAACACTACATATTCTTCACTGTGTAAATTTAATATGTATTTATTCTTATTAAAGTTACGAAAGTGATTTAGTCAAGAGCAGTGAGAGAGCAGTGATCTCTTTTGTTGTTTGATTAACATGAAAGACAGCAGGAATATTAGACTGCTGTCACTTTAAGAGCTGCCCTGATCCAATATACTTTTACACGTGTTTTCTTTCTCAGCTGTTTGTTTTCACTTAAGACTTACTGTGTTTATGAGGATGCTTGCAAAGACAGGCATTTTGACACATTCAAGTGTGTATTTAACCATTCAAGGTCTATAAATCGGCAAAAATAACTCTCTCAGACAGTGCGCATATACAGCGAAATGAGTTATTTTTCGCTGCAGATTGTGTTTCAATGGCTTAAAATCACTTGTCTTTAAAAAACTTGTTTTTTTTAAGCGCAATGCTTACAAACGTTACGTTTTCGTGACCACGTAGCACAGTAACGTCACATAAGCGTGTAACTGCGATAGAGATGATAGTCCAAAATTTCTACCGGTATATCACTCACCCCTACCACCCATAGAAACTTGTTAAGTAGGGATGCACCAAAATGAAAATTTTTGGCCGAAACCGAACAAAATGAAACACTGGGCCGAAGGCCGAATACCGAACACGGTTTTTCGAGTTTTTTTCCCCATGTATTTTGCCAATGTTTTTCACACCATTGCATAAATTAAATAGCCAAAATGTGCTTTTTACTGTTTTGTCTTGCTTTTCAAAGAAAAAAATCAATTACAAAACAACTATTTAAAAATATTTA